CTCGGGGCGCCTCATAATTGTGGCCAACCGCCTGCCTCTGAGCGTGGAGCTGCAGGGGGACGGCGCGTTCAAGTACAACAAAAGCGGGGGGGGCCTCGTCTCCGGACTGCAGGGCATAAGGGGCCTCGACTGCATCTGGGTGGGCTGGCCGGGCGCGGAGGCCCCCCCTGTGCTGCGGCCGCGGCTAACTGCTGAGTACAGGCGCCACGGCTGTTCGCCCGTCTTCTTAGACCAGCAAACCATCGACGCCTACTACAACGGCTTCTGCAACAACGTGCTGTGGCCGCTGCTGCACTACCTGCCGCCCCCGCTGGACTTGGACTCTGGAGAGGAGCAGAGCCTGTTGCAGTGGAGGGCCTACGTGCATGCAAACGAGTTGTTTTGCGAAGCTGTCTGCGAAGTGTGCAGAGCCCCGCCCCAAGCCCCACACAAATAACAATAGTGCAGCAACTAGAGGCCCGCAGTAGTCTTTTAAAGTAGGCAGTGGCGCCAAGTCTAGCTGGCCGGCGAGCGCCCAGCAGCAAAACTAACAGCCAGCCCCGAGTGCTGCAGTTGTGCTGCAGGTGATGCGCCCAGATGACCTCGTCTGGGTGCACGACTACCACCTGATGCTGCTGCCGAAGCTGCTGCGGGACCGCCTGGGCGACGACGGCTGCGCGCTGCGCGTGGGCTGGTTTCTGCACACGCCGTTTCCCTCCAGCGAGTTGTTCCGGCTGCTGCCGTACAGGGCGGAGCTGCTGACAGGGCTGCTGAGTGCCAACTTGCTGGGCTTCCACGTGGACTCTTACATGCGGCACTTCTTCTCTGCATGCGTTCAAACTTTGGGGCTGGAAGTCACGGAGCGGGGAGTCCTCGCTGCCCCCGTTGGCGGCGTCTACGCGCGCTGCGCAGCCATTCCCATTGGCATCGACAGCGACAGCTTCGTGGAACAAGCTGCTTCCCAGCAAGTGCAGCAGGCAGCAGCGCAGCTCAAGAAGGAGATGGGAGACAGACGGGTGGGCAAAGTCCTGCTGCTGCTAGCGCTGCTGCGGCCGCCAGCGCCGCTGCTGCTGCGGCTGCACCTGCTGCTGGGGGAAACTGATTAGCCCGGGGCATGCAAATGCTTCTCGAGGCCCCTGTCTCAGCTCTGGGTCTTTTGTACTTTTCATGTTTTTGTCGAAGTCTTGCCTTTGTCTTCGTCTTTGTCCAGGTTGTGCTGGGAGTCGACCGGCTGGACTATATGAAGGGGCTTCCCCACAAGCTGAATGCCTTCGACAGGTTTCTGCAGCGGCACTCCGACATGAAAGATTCCGTGCTGCTGCTTCAGGTGGCAGTCCCGACGCGCACTGGGGTCCATGAATACCAAAAGCTCAAGACCAAAGTGAGCAGCAGCAGCAGCAGCAGCAGCAGCAGCAACACAGCAGCGGTAGCAGCTGTTGTGGCTGGCGGAGTTCTCTCAAGCGGCAGCTCCGCCTCATGCAGCGGGCAGCTGCCTGCAAATCAGCTGCAGCAGCTGCTGCTGCTGCTGCTGCAGGCGCAGGCCCTCTAGAGGTTTTCAGTGCGAAGGCTGCGAAAGAAGTTATCCCTTGCGTTTAGTGTCTTCAGCTGCAGCCTAGATTTCTTTAGGACGAGGATCCAAACACTGCGGTTTGGGACTTGGGCTCGAGGGTTTGAGGGTTTAAACTCCCCAAATTAGGGTTTAGTGCGCAGACGTGGTTTGCTGCGTGTTCAGGTGCACGAGCTGGTGGGCCGCATAAACGGCAGCCGCGGCAGTTTGTCTCGCGTGCCTCTTCAGTCTTTGGATCGTTCTGTGAGTGCAGTCGATTTGTGTGCATTATATTTAGTGGCGGATTGTCTTTTCATTACTTCTTTGCGAGATGGAATGAACCTTGTGGCCCTGGAGTTCGTCGCTGCGCAGCAAGCCAAGGCGCAGGTGGCGGCGGCGGCAGCAGCAACGCAGCAGCAGCTGCAGCAGCAAACGCTGCTGCAGCAGGACCCAAAGCAGCAGCCGCTCCCGGGGGACCCCACGGCTCCTTCGGCAGCAGTAGCAGCAGCAAACGCCACAGCAGCAGCGGCAGCAGCAGCTGCAGCTCCTGCAGCAGCAGCTGCAGGCACCACCGCCATCTGCAGTGCCTGCGGCCACCCTATAGGGACTTGCTGCCAGGGGAGCCCCTCCGGCAAGCAGTGCAAGGAAGGCGACAGCAACCTGCATAGAGGCCCCGGGGTTTTAATATTGTCGGAGTTTGCTGGAGCAGCGGAGTTTCTGCAAGAAGGGTCTTTGATTATAAATCCTTGGAATGAACAGCAAAGTGCTGAGGCTCTCTATACAGCGCTCACCATGCCTAGGGCAGAAAGGGAGGAAAGACACAAGTGAGGCGCAGACACAGCAGCAGCAGCAGCAGCAGCAGCAGCTGAAGTAGCAGTTGCAGCAGCAGCAGCAGCCGTTGACGTAGCAGTTGCAGCAGCAGAAATAGTTGCAGAAGGCGCGAAACCAGCAGCGCAACATTGGCGTCATATGCGTAGAGGTAGTAGCAGCAGCAGCAAGAGCAGCATCAGCAGCGGAATGCGGATTGCGCCATGCTTCCCTTTTGGCCGTTTTATATTTGCATTGCATCTTGAATGGTTTCGAATATGCAAACATTGACTGAAGGCAGGAGGTCCCCTAGTATTTTTGTGAAGCAGGATTCGGGGGTTTAGGGTTTAGGGTTTAGGGTTTGATTTCTTTGTTCCTCAGGAAGCTGATGCAGGTAGTCACTGCAAACACCAGCACAATTTGGGCGCGGAAGTTTATTGCTGCTCTCATAGAGGCTTCTGACGAATCCGAGGGAGTGTGTATACCCTAAACCCCAAACCCTAGCTACACCCTAAACCCTACAGCCCCACTGCTGCTGCAGTTGCTTCTAAGTCCCCTGCCTGCTCCTGCATGCACTTTATCCCCGGTTGTTTGCCTCTTGTTAAACAGGAAAATGGGATTTGTCGATTTATTGACAAATACCACTTCCCTGTCTAGCATCTTATCGCTGCTGCATCAACAGCTTTTCCGCGGTGTATCTGCACCATTAGTTGCCACAAGCAGCATCTTCGGGTGTATGGGCAGCTCTTTGGGCTGTATGTGCAGCACACATGAGTGGATCATTTGCGATTTTTTTGGGGTGTACCTGAACTGCACCTCAACTGCAGCTGCAGCAGCAAAAAGGCTGCACCTTTGTGGAATTTGAGGCTTATTTGCTGTTCTTTTGCTGCACATTTGCTCTATTGTCTTTACTTTGGGGGAATCTGTGGAAAGCTTTGGTGCTGCTGCTGCTGCTGCTGCCTAGGATGGGCGTGCGAGCAGCAAAAGGGCGCTATCTGCAGCAGGACCTGCATGCAGTGCGTGGCCTTGCATACAGTGCTTGCTGCGCATGCAGGTGCGGGCCTCAGTGCCCCCGCTGCTGCAGCCGGGGACCCTCGTGCCGCTGTTCGTGGGGTGCCTGCGGCCGCGGCTGCTCATAGTCAGCGTCTGGGGGGGGCTGCTGCCAGTGCGCAGCCGCAGCAACTTGCCTCTTCCCGAGAGAACTCCTGACCCGCTGCCGCTGTCTGTTGCTGCTGCGCTCGCGGCCCTCGCGGCGCTGCCCCACACTGCAGTGGTGGTCTTAACTGAACACCCGCGGGCTGCGGTGGAAAACCTCTTCAAAGACATTCCCGTTTGCGTTGCTGTTGAGAAAGGAGCAAAGTACCGGTCAGCACTTTTCACGCAATTACTTCTCAAAAAACCCTTTTATCAAATCTCTAGCTTATTTGCAAATTTGCATTTTGTTCCCGCATGCGTATATGTGTTCTTTGGCGGATGTTCACAGACAAATTGTGATTATTTTGAAAGCCCTGCTATCTCAGCATGCCTCTGCATGGCTACGAACGCCTACATACATATATGTGCATATATAAATAAATATGTATATGCATATAAATATATGTATATATATAAATGTAGCACAAGTTCCACACTTGAATAGGTTATGTGTCTGAATATATGTTCGTTGACAACGAGACTTTTGTCTTCGGCGTGCATGCATTTATGCGCCCATTATTGTGAATCTGCATACATGCATGCATAACTGGAAATGCCCACTATGCTTCAACGTGTACGAGTCTTTTTAGCCAAAATTTTCAAAGGTTTTGGGAATAGATGCATGCTCGCATGCAGAAAGAAGATAGGCTATTTCAGAAAGGCAGACAGAAATATTCAGAGGAAGGAAGACTGCGAAGTAGCCAACAGCGAACGAAGCAGAATGCATCAGACACAAAAAGAATAAAACGCATATAAAATGACCCGAATTAATGAGCAGCTTTTGTTTTTTTGCATGCTTGCGGTGTACGTACAGCACACGGGGAGGACAGTGGCTGACCTTGCTTGAAGAATCTTCTCTCCAGGGTCTCGACGAATGGATGCCAAGCACTCGGACCGTCATGGATTACTACCAAGTAGCAAGGGTTTAGGGTTTAGGTTTGCGGTTTAGGCTTTAGGGTTTGGACGACACTGCACAGGGGCGCATTTCGCTTCGAACTTTCTCTGTGCAAGCAGGTATTCAGTTTTCAGTGATCACTGCCTCAGAAGTCGAGTTGATAGTGCTGCTGCTGCTGCTGCTGCTGCTGGGATTGCTGCAGGAGAGGACCCCTGGCTCGTTTGTAGAGGCTACAGTTGGGACTCTGAACTGGCACTGGGACGAGCTGCAGCAAGCCTTTGGACGGCAGCAAGCCACAGACTTGCTGGCCTATCTCAGAGCTTCCTTGCTGCGGCAGCAGGAAGAGCAGCAGCAGCAAGAACAGCAGCAGCAGCAGCAGAAGCAGCAGCAGCAGCGGAAAGAGCAAGAAGACACAAACTCAGAGCAAAGTCACGGAACCACCCAGAGCCATCAGCAGCAGCAGGAACAGCAGCAGCAGCAGCAGCAGCAGCAGCAGCAGCAGCAGCAGCCGCGGCGCAGCAAGGTGGAAGTCGTGCTGGGGCCTCGTTCAGTGGAAGTTCGCGATGTTGCATGCAGCAGGAAGCAACTTCTGGTCAGTGTCTTCAAAACTCAGAAATAGTTTTTAGACTTCAAACTTTGGGATTGCAAAATCTCTAAAGTGGGGCAGCAGAATGTTTCTTTATTTGCTGCTAGCTTGTGTTTTTTATATTCTTTTTTTCACTTTTCTGCACCACTTTGTCTTTTTGCCTTTTGTCTTTATCCATATGAGCCACTTCAGTTGTTTCTTTTTGGCCTATTTTATTTTATTTTCTTTTGTATTTTTGTCCTTTTTTTCTCACTTCTCGCAATCTCCTTTTGCTTTCCTTTTACTCTAAATCTATTCTTCATGTCTTTTTACTTCTCACTTTTCATTCTGGCCTCTGTTGTGCGTCCTTCTATGTTTCTGCAGCAAATAGTTATTTTTTTCATTTGACATTTTCATGTGAAAATACAATAGCACCATAAGAATATAATTTGTCTCTTTTGTCTCAAGCAATTACTTATTCCTCATTTAGTATTTCCAAATATTGGCCCAATAGCACTAAAAGAAGATCATTTGTCTCAATCACCTTATTTATTTTTCTCATTTAATATTTTCAAATATTGCCACAAGAGCTTTATAATAAAATAATTTGTTTTTTCTCTTCTTTTTCTATTTTTGCATCTTTTTTCGTCTCTGTCTGTATTTGCAGCTGCGAGTAGTTGACCGCGAGTTTGGCTCTTCTTTCTTGAGTTCTGTTGGATTTTATTTGTGCATTGGGAGTTTTGCCTGGAGAGAAGAGGATCTTTTTGAGTTGTTTGACGACGAAGACCAGCAGCAGCAGCAACGGCAGCAGCAGCAGCAGCAGCAGCAGCAGCAGCAGGAACAAGCCCCTGACCCCATTCCGCCCCCCTTAGCCATAGACCTTCCAAGTGTCTCCTTGTCTCCCACGCACGCACAGCAGCGGCAGCAGGAGCAACGTGAACATCAGCAGCAGGAACTTCAGGAGCAGCAAGAGCAGCAGCAGCAACAGCAGCAGCAGCAGCAAGCAATGCAGACTCCCGAAGCAGCAGGGAACGCAGCGGCGGCACGAGCAGCAGCAGACAAAACAGCGAAAACTGCAGCACCAGGAAGTCCAGCAGCTCCAACTGCTGCATCAGCAGCAGCTGCTGCTGCTGCTGAGGCTCCAGGCCGGTTTTTGAAAAACCGCAGAATGTCGGAACCTACTCCCAAAAGACTGAGTCAGTGTTTTGCTGCAGCGTGCAAGGAGCTGGCGCAGTGTACAGACACCGCCGCGCATGCACCTTGCATGCGCTGCGGTGTCTGTACACTGCGCCAGCTCTTGGGGCTCTGCACTCTATAAACATATTAACAGTGGCCCTGTGTACTTTGTATACATGCATGACATACTCTGAGGCGACGATAATAGTAGTAGTAGTAATAATAATAATAACAATAACAATAATAATAATAATAATAATAACGATAATAACAATAATAACAATAATAATAATAATAAGAGTAGGAATAATAATAAGTGCAAACAGGGCTGTGGGGCGCACAGGCAATCGACTGAGCAAGCAAGGAACTTTCCCGCGCTCGAGCCCAGCCTTCATGCGCACAACCAGCAACAGCAGCAACAGCAGCAGCAGCAACAACAGCAGCAAGAGCAGCAGCAGCAAGAGGGAGTGGAACTGGGGAGGGAGGACTTGCGTTTCAGTCAGGTAATCTTCATTCCCTTGATTGCATGCATGCATGCATGCATGCATGCAATATAAATGCATGCAAGCATGCGTGCACTCCTGGATTACAGCTCTACACTATCCTGTCTGGCCTCTGCCCTCGTCTTGTGTGGCTCTTCAGCCCCTTACTCTGTCTGACCTCGCCTTTACAGATTTTTTTACATTTGTTTCTCTTTTTTAATAGTTGTTTCTCTTTTTTTAATACTTGTTTCTCTTTTTTATATTTGCTTCTCTTTCCTAATATTTGTTTCTCCTTTTGGGACTCTTTTCACTGCCAAGTGCCTCCTTTTTGACTGGCTTACCAGTGGTTCCCTCTGTCTCGTTTTTCGAAGTCTTTGTTGCGTTTTTTTGTTTATTTCGATTCGTTTTTTATAAATTGAAATTATCTTTTCCTGTCAATTGCGCCTTCAGCGTGGGCCTCAACCTTTCCCGCGCCCGCACTTGTGTGCCCAACGCCTACCACGTACAGAGCCTGTTGATACACCTGGCCGAGGCAGTGGCAGCTGCAGGGCTGCATGCGCAGAAGAGCTCTTGGGTATAGTGCATGCATGCACCAGTGCATGCATGCACCGGTGCATGCATGCACCAGTGCATGCATGGACTGGCACTGGTGCATGCGTGCACTGGCGCATGCATGTGCTATACCCAAGAGCTCCAGTGCATGCAGCTGCAAATCCCCTAGATGTAGCCTAAGCATGCTTGCATGCGGGCTTGGGTGGATGCGTGCACGGGTGCATGCATTCGCACTTTTTCTTTGGCTGCGGGTCCGTGGCCAGGGGCCTTTTGTGCAGACAGTCCTGTTTTGTATTGTTTGTTGAGGGACCCCCAAGAGGGGCCCTTGAGCTAGACTAGAGGCAGCAGCTAGCTAGCTAGCTAGCTAGCTAGCTGGTTTGCTAGGCTTTGGTTTAGCTACCTGGCTGTGCCTTGTATTTATAGCATAGAGTAACCAATGAATGCAGAGACAGACTAAGGGGAGAAGCGGCCAACAAGCAGCAGCAGCTCGCAGCCTCCTAATTGGCAGCGCGTACATTTTTATGTTTGGTAAATTGGCGTGCATTCTATACTTATGATTAGCAAGTAAACCCACCAAGTTGGCACTTTTAAGTGTTGCAAATGGTAAGAACCACGAATCAAACAGATCAAATTTCATACAAAGTATGTGTACCTTGCTATTTATTATTTGCGCAGATATTACTATACCATCCCAGCAAAGAAGTGTTCATATGCATGGGCAGTTCTGAGCTTCTGTAGGCTATAGTTGAAGATGGTAAAACGCTTACCTGCTTGACGTTATATTGTGCGTAGTAAGTATAGATAATGGCAAATTGAATTAATTAAAAAGAAAGACAAAAGGAGGACAAAAGGATAAAGCAAACGCCACAAAGACAAGTCCTTTCCGGGGGCCCCTGAAGGCGGTACTTCTTGGGCTCTTTGACACAACTCAGCCTCCAGATGAATGACCAATCTAGCTGGCCAGCTGAATGGTTAATCAGTTTAATTCAAGTATGTCCCAAATATACATGCATGCATGCATATATGATGTGCATGCATGCATATGGATGCCTACAGGGGCTTCTTTTATCGCAGAAGGCCGTGGGGTGTTGTTTCAATTTGCGAATTTAGTTCAGCAGCAGCTTTTGATTTCCAGGCCTTGAAGACAGCCCCACGGCTTTGAACATAACGCAAAGTTTTGTTCAAAGTCGCTGAGAAAGGCAATTTGCTTCAAACGTTTTTGCTTTCAGTTTTTTGCTTTCAGTGGCTAGCTGCTGCTTTTGCCTTCACCTCTTTCAGTGTTGCCGTGCAAGTTGCTGCGAAAAAAATTTCGCTCTTGTGTCCAGCGAACAGTTTTCTAGATCCTCTTCTATTTTGTTTAAACAACTGCTTTGGTGTCCAGCACTCAGCGCATAAGCCGGAACTGAAATATTACAAAGATCTGGGAAACAAAGCAACAAAATACGAGCTACGGGCTGTTTGCAGAGTTGCAGATTTGCAGCTTTTTCCTAAAATTGCTGAGGGAAAATGCGATTCACTGTACAGAAAGCAGTAATTATAATAGTTATTTACATTCTTTTTCGTGGCTCAAAAGGGAAAAGCTGGCGAGTTGGGCTGATGCATATCCAGAAGATCAAGTCTTGGAAGAAGAGTTAGCAGCAATTGTGCATCAGAACTACAGCCATGCAGGTTTGCTGTTTTCTTTTCCTTTTTTCCGAGTTTAATTCACTCAGTCTTGCTGTGCTGCAGTGCCTGCATTGCCCCAAAAGGCCATTTGAGTGGTGAGTCAGGCGAGTATTGCAAAACTATTGAACAGAAGCGCCGAGTACGGGCACCGGGGATCGAACCCGGGATCTTCTGCGTGTTAGGCAGACGTCATAGCCACTAGACCATGCCCGCGACAGGGGATGCGATATTTTGATTTTAAAAATGAAGTTCTTTGTTCAGATTAATTCCTTTTAATCAAATATTAGTAATTAAACCAAATAAAGGACCAAGCAGACCATTTGGGAAGCTCCTGGAGCTGATTATTCAGCTAACTTTCCAGCCCGAGTCCCTGAACTCCGCACTTTCCTTCTTTCAACTTCTTGAGAAAAAATAAAACAGTTTAAAAAAAGCCAAACAAGCTTCCCAATTTTGCTGTGCCAGCTGGCCTTTCTTGTATGAGCCACCAAGTAGCTGCTGCTGCTATTCTATGGCTTTTTGTGTTGCGCGAATATTCGAGCAGCTGCGCTGATAGTGTGCAAATGGAATATATTTTTGCTGCACAAGAAAGTATTCTTTTAAGTCCCTTTTAAACCCTTTTCTTTCGCTCCCATGTGGATTAGAAGAAGGCCTGTCTTGCTGCTGTTTGCTGCTGCTTGCTGCTGTTTGCTGCTCTTTGCTGCTGATTGCATCCAGTGCTAATCAATAATAGAAAGATTTGAAATATTTTCAATAATAAAATGATTTGAAGTATTTCTTGATGGCCATTAACTGCATCAAAATATTTGCGAAAGAAATGGGCATTTTCTTTTGTCTTGTTCCTAAGCAGCAGCAGCACCATTTAGCAAACATTTGAGAGCAGGAGGGGCTACAGAAGCTCAAGAAGACAAACACTTAAATTCTTTATTTTCAAAGGAAATTTGAGATTTTTGCTTCAGCTGCAGCGCTAAAAAGGACCAGTCTAGCTGCTGCTGCTGCTGCTGCTGCAGCACCTGCAACATTCATTTTCTTAGAACAGCCAAATCCCCACGAAGTCCCTTGGGGGGGCCCCTGGGGATCCCCTAAGGGCGTGCAGGTGTCACTAGCTACATGGGCAGCTCTCTGCTGCTGGCGGGTGCAGCAGCAGCAGCAGCAGCAGCAGTCTGCTGCAGCGGGCCATTTGCCTGTGCATTTCGCTGCTGCTGCAAAGCAGGGACATCCCCATGCGCAGCCAGCCCCGCAGTCCAGCCACTCCAGTTGCTGCTGCTGCTGCTGCTAATGGCTGTTTAGCTGCAGCTGCTTACTGCAGCAACTTTGCTTCTTGCTGCGCTGCTTAAGAGACTGTCTAGGACTTGGCCAAAAAGCCCATTAACTCGCCACTCTTGTATTAATGGCCCCACAGCTGGGCTCTACAGGGCGCAGCAGCTCTGTTCGTCGTTAAAAAAATAAGTTTTGTTATTGAGACTAATTTAAGTTGAAAGCAGACAAGTGGGGCTTTTCCTTTGCATGTATCCTGCAGCAACAAACCACAAAAGGCTTTTCGTTCTTTACTTCCCTAAGCTCTTGCTGCGCTGCCAAGCCCCTCTTGTTTGCTGCAGCTGCTGGCAGCAAAACGTACACAGCCAGAAATGTGCTGCAGCAAATAAGACAGACTCAGTGTGCATGCAAAAGGCACCAACTGGGGGGCCCCCTGAGGCCCCTAGTTAAGGGTACACATGGGGGTACCATTAGGGGCCCCTAGGAGGGTCTCTGCAAAATTAATAGTTTTATTTATTTGTTTGTTTTCACGAGAGCTGCCCGTCATTTAAAAAGCCGGCACTTTGCGGTGTCTGTACAGCTCCTCCTGCTGCTGCAGGCGCTGCTGCAGGCCGAACTGCAGCGAATAACTTTGTCAGTCTCATTTATATTTTAAAAACTCTATATATTTTGCAAAAAGACTTAAAAAATGCTGCAGCAGCCGCATGCATGCATGCAAGGATGGCTGTCTCGAAGCCCTGGGGCTGTCTTGTGGATGCATGCACAGGGGGGTCCTTATAGCTCTATTTGCTTCTCTTTAGCTCTTTTTTCCTCTCTTTTTGATATTTTAATTTATTTTTAATTAGATTTCATCTGCAGCAAACTCTAGTCCAAATTAATACGGGCAACCCTGGCAGCAAAACGACAGGGGGGCCCCTGCCCCACCTTGGGAACTGCCCAGACACCCGAGCCGCTGCGCAGTCCGCGCGCTGAAGCAGGCTCCTGCTGCTGCTGCTGCTGTTGCTGCTGCTGCTGCTGCTCCTGCCCCCCGCACGTGCTGCAGGGGGCCCCTTACTGCAGCAGGGGTCCCCCACATAAGTGTGTATACGGCAGCACATCTGATGAGGCCCCCTTCGTGGGGCTTTTATTGGGATCCGATCCCCGGGGACGGCCCAGCTGCTGCAACGGGAGAAATGGCTGTTGCAGCAGTGATGCATGCAGCA